TAGAATGGACACTCATCGGCTTGGCTCTCAGGACCCGAGGTTATCTGAGGACTCACTTACCATGTTCTGCTGGCAAAGCCAATAAAATTGCTGGAATTTCTGGGACATAAGCAGCTGTGCACTCCCAACAGCACTCCTGATTTTACCGAGAACTGTTTGAAAAAAGAGTGAAAACTGGGTCAATTAAGGAAAAAATGAAAAGCATTATACAAAGGGAGCAAATGACATTCAGCATAAACTATTATTCCCTCTTACTGGAGATGTAACTTTGAATCTGTCGTGCAGAACATGTCCACAGACTGAATTTGTCTTCAGTCTGCTGCATTCGCAACTCATGAAGAAAATTCAAAGATGACCAAATGCCAACTCTAAGGACGTTCTTCTTAGGTAATAAGAGGAATTTAGTTTAGAAGGTGGCCTACACTGCAGGGAGTTTCCTGATTTTGGGGCATTGAGATGGTTTTACTGCTAATGTTCAGTTGAGCTAGAAGGTAAGAAAGACATGAGAATAAAAATGACATTGGACATTTCCTATTTTTTTAATACACTTTGCAATGTGTTAGTAAACTCTATTATATGTAAATTCCTTAAATGTTTAGGAAAATACATTGACCTATTACCTCGTAGGATTCAATTAGATAAGTTTTAATGAACTGTGGGCAACTATCTCATGGCAGTGCTACGAGATGTATCTCATCTGTGAGGAAACTGTGGAGAAAGAGGTCACCCAGAAAGATCATGATGGGGTTCTTTTCTCAGAGTCAGCAAGAGGGTCCCAAGTTACTACACTACATTCATGCCAATTTCCCTGCCCAACTATGCCGATATCTTTCCAATAATGTTACTCTTTCCACAGCTATGCAGAGTCAGTTTACTGTACAAATGATTCCTAACTTGTATGAATCTGTTAATCAATAGCATTTTTGTTTTTAAATTTTTTGCTATAGGGCACATACATTCACCAGACACACACACACGCAGAGAGAGAGAGAGAGAGAGAGAGAGAGAGACAGAAGGTAGAAAATCAACCCCCCACCCCCTCTCCGGGAGGATGGCCATGCTGCAATCCCTTTTCCTGCACTGTCTTCTCAGGAGTTTGAACACACATGAACTGGTGCATTTAAGCCTCTGGTCCCTCAAACTACCAAGTTGGCCATGTGGGATCCATGTGGAATCCAGCCATCCCAATCACCTTACCACTGGCTGGCCCAATAGTATTTTTTTTTTTTCAAAAGTAAACTCTATATATTCTTCAATAGAAAGTGCTATGGTTTGAATGCAATATGTCTCCTAAACCTCATGTGTTAAAATTTGGTGACCCTTGGAATAGTGTTGAGATGTCATGGAGACTTGATCTGCTTATAATGCTGAGAGGTGAGGCCTTTGGGAAGTGATTAGGCATCAGGGTGGGTCCTCCTGACTGAATACTAGTGAGTTTATAAGGGGAGATTGATAATGAGGTAGACAGAGATTGGATAGGCCCTGTTCCAGCTTCTACCCTACACCACGCTATCCCTTGGCAAGAAGACCCTTAACATCTGCAGCCCCTCAACCTTGGCCTTCCAAACCATGCAAGAATAAACTTTTATTTTTATAAATTACCGAAAATCAGATATTTTCTGTTAGCAACAGAACAGACTAAAACAGAAAGGATTTAATAAATTAAAGAAAGGTAGGTATGGCTACTTCTAGATTTGGACTGATCAAAACCAAGTCTCTTTTTAAGAAATACAGGGGGGGGGAAGCTCCATTTTCTGTCCCCAAGTGTCTCTGAGCCTTCTCATCTTTCTGTTCTCCCTGCTTTTTGTCCAGTCCTTCGCCTGACATAGGCAGAGTCACCACTGGGGAAGTAAGAGCTTTGTAGATTCCAACTCACATAAGCCTCAGCCCCACGTAGGAATCTGTTGGAACCTATTTTTCTTACCACTACACCCTGGGTTCATTTATGCATGATATGTTTTATTTGTCCAAGCATAAATTCTGAAGTTATTCCAGAATTTTCTCTGCACTGTTACCAGGCTGTTCTGTAACTGGGGCACCCTGTGAGGTGGGGATGCTGCCCACATTGTAGATACACAGATCCAAAAAATCTCATCATGCCTTAGTTTACATCAAGGTCTCAATTCAGTCACCTTTCAGCTTAGGTTCATCTTTTATGGGGTTTTCTCAGCATCATTTACTTTGCATTTGCATCTTTCTCTCTCTCTCTTTCTTTCTTTTTTTCCTTTCCTTTTTTTTTTTTTGAAAATTTTCCAGAGGGCTCATGTGCTCATCAGAGAGAAGCAAAGACAGAGAGAGAGGGAAAATGAGAAAGCCCACTGCCCTTGCCATGGGAGATGACCATGTTGTAATCCCTTCTCCTACTTCTCTTTACCTGGTATTTTGGACATGCATGCACACATGCCCAGTGTGTTTTTAAAGCCACCAGATCCAAACCTTGAACTGCAGAGTTGGCCATGTGGGATCCAGCCACCCTAGCCACCACACTGTCTGCTTCCCATCACCTACTTTCTTTCTTTCTTTCTTTTTTTTTTTAGAGAGAGATTTTTTGCTATAGGGTGAGTGCACTTGCCAGGGACACAGAGAGAGACATGAGACAGAGAGAGAGAGAAAGTGAGAAATCACCCATCAGGGGGCTGGCCACGCTGCAATCCCTTCTCCTTCATTCTTCTCTTGGGATTGTGGGCACACATGCACATGCACCCAGCATGAGTTTCAAGTTGCCAGGTCTGGGACTCATCCATGGCTGGCCATGTGGGAGTCCAGTGCTACAACCACTCGGCCACCTCTTGGCCCAATCACCTACTTCTTAGAGCTGAAAATGGATTAGTCCCATCTGCTCAATTTTGTCTTGACTTTTGGCTCTCCCCCAAGACATTTTGCAGAGTACAGATCACTAATCTATACCAAACACTTAAGAACTTAAAATTGCTACTTCTCTAGTTCAGCCATTTTCCCAAGCTTTCACTGGAAGAGGACCATGGCCAGCTTGTATTT